GCATCCTGCGCACGTCCATGTCTTTCGAGGCGCTCGCTCCTTCAGTCTGGCATCAGCAGCAGTTCAGGGTGTAGTTAGGGTTTAGGGTTTAGGGTTTAGGGTTTAGGGGTTCGGAGTTTAGGGTTTAGGGGTTCGGGGTTTAGGGTTTTGGGGTTTAGGGTTTGGGGTTTAGGGAACTTAGTGGCTTTTTTGGCCTCCCACCTAGCTAGGAGGACAAAGCCAGCCATGCAGGGAACTTCGTGGTTTAGGGTTGAGGGTTTAGGATTTTTGAAGCTGCCTTTTACGTGGGTTCAGGGGTTACCCGAATAAGAAGGAAACCCGGTCCTTCTGCTTGGATCCCTATCATGGCAACGTACCTTCAATTCCTTAACAAGAGCCCAGCAGCAGGTCTTGCCTACCAGCGCCTCTCCGCACCTCGCAGGCTGTCCCGGCTCTTAGGGTTTGAGGTTTTAGAGGTTTTAAGGTTTAGTTCAGGGTTGGGGGTTTTAGGGTTTGTGGGTTCTGTAGGGGGTTCTGGGTTTGGGTTTTGGGGGGTTCTGGGGTTTGGGGCTTAGGGCTTGGGGCCTCGGATGTGAGGCTAGGGTTTCGGAGGCATGACAACCGCAACAATATCGTGTCCCTATACCCGGAAAGCAGTCCTGATTTTCGAAGCACCTAATGTCATGAAGTCTACTTTTGCTTCCTCAGCTAGATCCCGACTCATAAAACCCCTGATCCCTTCTGGGTCGTCAGGCGCGCCCTATGAAAGATCAGGGGCCAGGGTTAAGGGTGTAGGATCATCGCAGGTGCTGTTCTTATCACCCCAACCACAACCTGCTCCTAAACCCTTAACCCCTGAAGCCCCAGAATCTCAAAATACATCACCAATAAAGAAGTAGAACCCATATTATGACTTCATATAACCGCAAACCCTGAGACCACACCTCTTCTAGCGTACTTTCGGTTCTTGAGCACTTGCAATTCTGCTGCTACCAAGGCTCACCCGTCTTCGCCTCGTCTCTCCAAATCCCAAAACCCTTATCCCAAAACCGTAAACCCCAAACCCTAAACCCCTCAACCCCCAGCCGTGGCCTCCGCGGCGGTCGTCACCGTGGCAATGGCCTGGACCACGGTCACCTGGCTTATTGTTCTCATCGCAGCCTTTTGGGTTTGGTAAAGCCCGTTTATCTCTGGCTTATATATATATATATATATGACCGTATATCGCCTTGCAGCAGCTTGTACGTCTTGGGGCACGTAGAAGACTTGATAACATAGGGGGCCTTCAGGGCCTTCATCATTAGAGTAGAGTGTCGAGTGAAAGTACTCTATACTTATCATCCTGGGGGATAGTTGTCACAAGCAACTCAGCCCCAGTTGTGACGTCGCGGCTGATTGTGTTCCCAGTGTGTCTTGCTAAACTCTAAACTCAAAACCCTGGCTATGCTCTCAGTGGGTCTTGCTTGCTCATGGCTCTTTAGGCACTGACCGTTTCATCGTCTAAAATCCGAATAGTCGGGCCTCAATAATTGCCTCGGGCTTCCCGAAGATCCCTGAACTCAACCCTGAGACGCTGGACCCTGAAATTCCGAACCACACTACGAAATACCATAGTATACTACGAGATACTATAATATGCTGTAATACACTATCATAAACTTAGCTAACTCTGAAACCCCCGACAATCCTGAACTCTAAACTAAACCCTGAAACCTAAAGCGAAATGTGCCAGGCTTGGCGTGCCCCCTCCCTACCCTCAAGCCGTGTCTCTACACGGGGGGAGGTGAGGGGCATAGCAGGGGCGGGGGGGAGGAGAAAACCGGGTGCGCCAACGATAGGTCAGTGAGGGCTTTACAAGACTTCACAAGCTTAGGGGGTACTATTTACGATCTGTCCAGTCAGGGATCTTGCGAAATTGTACCATGGTCCCATGTTCTCTGACAACCATCCTCCTCGCCTTCCGATTCTAAGGCGTGCTAATTTGTTAGGATTCACTGTGTTTGTTGACACTTCTTTTCCGCCTGGAGGACTCCCTCAGTTGGAATGCTTATCAGGCGGAGGCAGGTCCAAGGCGAAAGGATCTGCCAAGGTTTAGGGTTTACCTTCACCCCTAATGACCCCCAGCATTTATTGCCTGTTTAAGGACTTAGTTTAAAGAAAATCATGAACCCCAAAAAAGGAAATGTTTCTCAGGGTCGGTAAGGCTTAGGAGCCAGGGATCCCGGCTCAGAGGCATGGGCTTAGACACTTCCGGCAAGAAATAAAACCCTTCAAAAACTCCCTGTGGCAAGTCCCTAAACCCTAAACCCGGCCCCCTTATAGAAACCCAAACCCTTGCAAAAACCCTCACTTATAGAACCCTAACCCCTCGCAAGAACCCTTACAAAACCCCTTATAGAACCCCGAACCCTCACCCCTCGCAAGAACCCTTGCAAGACCCCTTATACCACCTTGCAGCAGGTATGCTTCTTCATGATA